CATTGATATCGACAGAAAACGTGAGTTAGTTTTAATTTTGTTATTAAAACTGTGAAATCCTTTATTTTTTGTTGCAATATAAATTTCACGTTTTTTAAGAATAGCTATTTCATGTGGGACATTTTTTTTTACAATATTGGACATCTTTTAATTTTAAACTTGTTTGGCATTTTCCATTATGAAACATAAAGAGGCATTTTTCCTCGAAGTTTATTTGCCCTGAGTAACATACTTTTAATAGAAAATATTTAAACTCAAGTACACCAACAGTTACTTAATTTTATCTCCTTGACGTATCTCTTCTGTATGTCTCCCGTTAATTGTAGTGGCACTACCTCACATGAACATCTACCTGAAGCCACACTAGTCTATGGCTTTATATCAATATTAATCATTTTGAGAAATGCACATACACATATTGGCGTGTATAAAATCACTTCAAAGTCACCAGCCTAATAAATCGCTTTGTTAGATCGCAAGTGATTCAAAACATATGGCTGCTTGATTTAGCGGACCGAGTTCGTCAACACAGGTAAGTTGTTTGCCTGCTGTAAGGTAATATTTTGTTAACACTGACAGGTGTAACACAATCGATCATTTTTTGTCGATCGGGTTGTGATCGATTCTATATCAGTTATCCGTCTTTTATACAAAACCCCCGGAGGGACTTTCAGAAGTGTTTCACTTTATGTACGAATGTATATGAAAACACATGTGACAGTCGACATGATAGGTAATTTATTATCGTTATCGAAAAAAATATTTCTCGAATCATAAATGGATCAAACAATTAAGAAATGGTAAAATTGTATTAAAGCAACATCACAGATAATCACTTCTAACCAACTTCGAATTTGAAACGGAATCATGTACTTCCCTCGATCGTCTTGGGAGTTTTTGTATACCAGATTGAAGTTAAAAAAAAGTACCTCATGGTTTCCCTTAAGTTGTAAGATTTGTAACGTGTAATATATATATTAAACCGTATGATTATCAAGAATGATTGTTTGATGGATGAGGTCATGCCAGATTCAACGCCAGGTGCAGGAATCACTTGCTCTTTAAAAACACATGGTTCGTTTTTGTTAATATAATGTTGATAATGTTTTTTTGTTTGGTGCCTTCTCAATTCCTGTTGTTGTCATTCCTTCTGTTTTGGTGTCTCCTCAGTTCCTGTTGTCTTTCTATTTGTTTTAGTGTCTCCTCAGATCCTCTTGTTTCTCCTTTTGTTTTGGTGTCTCCTCAGATCCTCTTGTTTCTCCTTTTGTTCTGGTGTCTCCTCAGATCCTGTGGTTTCTCCTTTTGTTTTGGTGTCTCCTCAGATCCTGTGGTTTCTCCTTTTGTTTTGGTGTCTCCTCAGATCCTGTGGTTTCTCCTTTTGTTTTGGTGTCTCCTCAGATCCTGTGGTTTCTCCTTTTGTTTTGGTGTCTCCTCAGATCCTGTGGTTTCTCCTTTTGTTTTGGTGTCTCCTCAGATCCTGTGGTTTCTCCTTTTGTTTTGGTGTCTCCTCAGATCCTGTGGTTTCTCCTTTTGTTTTGGTGTCTCCTCAGATCCTGTGGTTTCTCCTTTTGTTTTGGTGTCTCCTCAGATCCTGTGGTTTCTCCTTTTGTTTTATTGTCTCCTCAGTTCCTGTTGTTTCTCCTTTTGTTTTGGTGTCTCCTCAGTTTCTGTTGTTTCTCCCTTTGTTTTTGGTGTCTCTTCAGTTCCTGTTGTTGTCTTTCCTTTTGGTTTAGTGTCTTCGGTGTTATTCTTTTTTATTTTTGTGTCCGCAGTTCCTGGTGTTGTCTTTCCTTTTGTTTTAGTGTCTTCTCGGTTCCTGTTGTTGTCTTTCCTTTTGTTTTAGTGTTTCATTTCCTGTTGTCTTTTCTTGATAAACACCTGTTTCGGTGTTGTCCTTTTATGTTTACCCTGTAGTTTATAGATGTATCCTGATGTAATCAATTGAAATACAAGCCCTAATTAAAACAAAACCGAAGTTGAAAAAACAATACCAGATGTTCAACGGTATAGGCTTGCTAAGGTCTGCACTAATTTAAGATTCTCACGTGGAATTAATTGTTATGAATATTGCTGTAACATTTGAGGACAAAGGTTTTGCATGCTTGTCCTTGTTAAAGCCTTTTTCAATTTTCGTTTTGCCTGAAGCTTCAGGTCTTAATCACCGCCCTCTGAGAGCCGATATTCGTGTTTACAATGCATGACGAGGTCTACATTTACCAGATCGATATCATAAATAACTCAAATTTTAACAAAAAATATCATCTAAAGTAAGCCACTTTCTCTGATTAGCCTCCGGTTAAGCAGGAACAATACGTTAATAGAGAGACTTGCATTGATAACTGATTTATTCCTGGCATGAAAGCAACTTTCACTGCTAGTCGCCTTTGCATGTTTTAAAGGACACGAATGGCACTTCCTATTGCCACTTCATTCAAACAGCATTAGATGATTACTTGTTACCACCGCCAGCCTCCAGCAACTACCGGTATAGTTATATACAATATCCCCAAGTGCAATTGAAAACCTAATTGTGTAGTATTGTATGTAGTAAGATGGAGTGGTCCAAGATGGGGAGATGGAATAGACTGCTGCTCTTGATTATCACAAGTTTTCTCTTTAGTTTCATGTTTCTCAGCAACAAAATAACCCAACAAAACCTTCCTCCGCGTCAATAATCGGAGATTACCTCATAGCGTTCTGCTAATTCTCTCCCTCTACAAATTAGAAAGCAATGGCGTAAACTTCACCCGATAATTTTCCACCAGTATAATTTTACCTTAATGCACCGACCGTTTCTTAATGAATCTCACAGACCATATGTGTACTCATTCCTGAAATGTCAACCACACACCAACGGATCCTTCTTTCGACAAGTTTTATCGATATTTACAGAAAAAATAGTTTGTCGTACATTATATTAGATACTTTAAAGGCTCAACAATACGGGTGGCCAATACAGTCAGTAGAACTATTCGGATCAGCCGACAAGGGAAGATGACAATTGGCGATACAAAAGTGGTGTGATAATAGGGAAAGCCATAACTTACCGGAACAGCCTACACATTGAGTACTAGATGGACGCGTGCCGTCTTAACCTGTGCGCGACGTGTTAGGGGCTGTAAAACGAACCAACAGCTGCATGTCGTGTAGGGACAAACATCGCGTCATCACGGCTACAGGTACACTCTGATGATCTGTCCTAGCGCATTGGCAGGTGAAAGATTTAAATTTGTATAGTTTTTAACTGGATTTTTTATGAAATTCGGATAAACTGTTGATAAGAAAGTTTTTAAAATTTGCCTTTTGACTTTATAAGGAAAATTTGATGTTATTATTTTCTAGGGTTCTGTTTTTATTATTTGCCTATTTGTAATATGCTTCCTCGTCAAGTTATTATTTAACTATTGTCTTTTAAAAAATAGGTTATTATGGTTTCATGTTACACAAAACCTGAAATAGTATAAAACATCTACCAGCCGTGAACGGCGTATTGGATACACAACCCGATCAGTGTTGACCACGTGTGTGTAGACGGTAGTTGACACAGTTAAACAGGATTTATTCCTATTGATGTGTTCATTTATCGACGTCATCAAACTGTTAACAGATAAGCCACGACACCCGTATACAGTACACACCGCCAGCAGCCGCCGAGTTTAGCCCTGTGCCGAATTATACACGCCGAATTAAAACACAATCGATATGATTGTATGATGTATATAATGACGGATGTGTGTATTTCCTTGTCCGGTCTCTGTGATTACGATAGTCAGTGCTAGCTTTTTGATTCCTTTTAATGACAGTTTATAATGTTTTCCCTACTGTTTTGATGTCTACGTTCCTTGTGTGACAACCCTGCTTTCCGCGTTTGTCCTTGTGAAATGACGCTGTGATTTATCTACCTTCTATGTATTTGTGTAATACACATTTTTACCCACCAACCTTATTCATAGGGGAAGGCTGGAAAAACACTTTTAATCTTTTGTACTCGCCTTGTCGATTTTACAATAATATGATACCACGTTCAGATAACATATTAATTTTACAGATTTGCTTGTATATTGTACTGTTTTTCTATAATATACCTATCTAAAACAACCCTATTCACGTTTCACTTGAATGCCACTAGCTATAGATTACCGCAACCTTTTTATGCCAAATGTTTAACATATCAGACGCTCGTTTAAAAGCCCCGCAGTGTTCGTAGCCTCTATTAATTACTGCGTGTATACAACTTCCATTTCCTTTCCACGCTTAAAACATATTTAGAGATAGCTATCTCTTATACCAGGAAATTATCACCCCTAACCAGATATAAATGCTACATGACTAGGTTCCCCAGACAAGTGTTTGCTTTCTCTTTCAACGTTGGTCTTATTTCCCCTCATTGTGTGCATTTGCCATAGGTAATTAGCTAACAGCTTTAAAGTTCAGGTGTTGTTTCTTTGAACTGTTTAAAACTTACTTCTTTATTGATACGGTTCACTTCTTCATTTGTGTAAAGTATACAATAATACATTGTGTGGCCGTAACGCTCATGTCTTTGGTTTAAAGTTGTACGGTGACGAGCGCTGTTGGTTAAATACCCCAACTGTCACGTTTTATCCGAACTAAGCCCGGGACGTATATCATCCAACATAGGTTATCTATCATTTCCATTTACAAGTTTATCGCAGGTCTGAAAATCTACGCCCGAACACTTACGTTAGTTGTGACTAGGTTGTATTATGCCTATGAGCGGAGAGTCGTCTACTGCCATCGCCTGCCTGTATAGCGTAGCGAGTCAGGGCCAGCCCACTGTGGGGTACTATATACGATACAGGCGCAGTTCACTCTCAGTGCGTTACAAGATAGCGGAGGCACTGGATGTGGTGTACATACTGTAAGGATTATAGTCATTTAGTCGCTAGAGCATAGCGTCGACGGTAGACCCACCACTCCGTCCACTCATTTAATCAATGGCTTGTAACGTGGTTCTTTTTTTTATTTATTTACAACAGGATAGAGAAGACTAAGACGACCTAACGGGTCCCTGTAAGTTGTTCTTATGGAGGAAACGAAGTTGTAAAATCATCAAGGATTCATTGATTGCGTTTTGTATTGTAACTTTACATGAACAAAAGAAGATATCACTAGTTGGTCTCTACAGCCTTGTTTATACTATATAACGGAACAGACCAGTAAGTCATGACCTGTGTTCTTTCGATGAGTGCGGTGTATAACAATCCGTGTTGTGGCGGATTCAGAGGAGGAGGAGGAGGAACAGACGAAACAGCCTCCCAAACAGACTTTGATTATCACTGGATTAACTCCTCTAGTCCCCGGCTAGCTACAGACACGGGAACAACCACATGCTCTTGTCGATTTGACAAGCAGACCACATTGAGTCGAACTCCGGCCAAACTAGAACGTCCAGGTAAGTTAACTGTACCTATTCGTTATCGACATTCAGTAATGTTTAATGTGTATACACAAACAATAAACAATTACTTTTATCGATGTTTTAAATTAATTTTCTCAAATATTTTTTCTCTTCCTCATCGGTAAAATCTGAATCTATTATCTTTTTAAAGTTATCCAATATTGACGTAGGGTATGAATTGTAGCGTTGTGACAGTGTATGATGAGTTGCTACATAAAGCAGATCAGTGCAGACAGATATGTATACCAGTGTGTTGTGGATAGCCCTGACAGGAGTGGGGACACCTTACGGTCAATAACATGGGAGAGGCGTTAGATCGATTCACAATCTACCCTTTTTATTATCATAATTACCATCAATCCCCACAGCCTTTTCTACCTTAGTCTTCGACCTGCATCTATCTATTATATATTAAATAAGGATACAATTACTGTTTTCTTGTACCTCCAGGGTTAGACCGGTAACGCCACTTTATTGATCTTCAGATGAATATCTTTGTAAAGCCGGGTTGGTTCGGACTTTCAGTACAAACAACACGAGATTTTTTAAGTCAAGGCTTTGTTTGTTTGCTGTACTGTTCGGCAGTACGTCTGTTAGCGATCTACTCAGGTTTCTTGCAGTGCTTATCGAGCCGTAACCGGCCCGGCTAAGTACGTATATATGTGTGTATATAGGTACTATCGATATACAAACATACAACAATATCAATTATAGGATCCATATTATTATCTTTATTAAGTTTAATCGTGGTAAGACATTACTTCGTGGAAATCACCTGTACAATTTTTTCTCATTGTTCGGGGCACAGGTAAACATTAGTATTATCTCTTATGTACATCATGTAACATGTTTAAACAAAACACTTGTATTTCTTTATCTATATAGGCCTGCGGAAAGAGGAATCCACAAATAATTGTTGCAAGAATGATACACATGAGATAGAAATGAAAGTGGATGAAAGGAGGACTATCGGGGTTAAAAGGAAATTAGATTCCAACACAGAGGACTTGATAGACAGGATACCGCCTAAGCGTATCTCGCCTTTTCTCAATACACCCAAAGAACGCAAGGAAGAAAGGAGGAGAGTTTTGAAAATATCTATTCAAAAATTAAGACAGATGGAGGACCCCGAGCATTTTCTACGGCGTTCTGTCTTGATCAATAACACGTTAAAGAAAGTGCAGAAAGAAATTCGGGAGGAAAAACAGAAAAGTTATCAAGGATATAAAAGCTGTATCTACAGACTTCGCCCTCATTACAGCTATGATGTGTTAAACAATAGTTACTTACAGGCCTCTCCCAATGGATATATGAGTATGTTCGAGGGTCAATATTCCAACCCTGACGAGTCGGAAAAATTCCAAGACGAAATTACTGACACTCTTGTGAAGAGTTTAGAGGAGACCTCAGCAATTAAAGACAACATTTCCACCAACTCGTCTTCACCTCTGCTCTCGAGGCAGACGGAATCCCACGGGATTAATATGGACGATAGGACAGAAATTGACATTTCCACCAGTGAAAGTCACAGAGAGAAACAGATATGTAATGACATGGACGCAGTCTTTAATAATCTGATACGTGCTCTCGGGGAAACATAGCGGCGGAACACTGCCGAGACAGCACTGTGTGTGAGAAAGTGTGTACTATACCACGTAGGACAAGTGGATGTGGTGCCCCTTATTGTATTCAACATGTTGGATGTATGCTAATTTTATCACTGGATGCAAAGACAAAAACACAATATGCCATTATATGAATCTGGAATTTATTATCTCTCGAGGATGAGTGCATATTCATGTGTGCAAAGAAATGTCCGAAAGGAAAATCATCTGCTCGGAGTACTTGTTAATTAAATGGTGGGATTATACTTACTACTCAGCTTCTACGTTATTATAGTAGTGGAACAAATCGAACTTGGATTTTATTTGCCACGGTACGGTAGTGACACTAACATTGGTGGGCTAATTCAGCAGTGATATTTATATTTATTATATGTTGACTTGCAATGAAAACACAAATGCTAAATTATGTGAAACAATAATATTTATATAAATATATTTACGCATATGATATGAGATATATTTCTGTCGACACATGACCTAAATTATCAAACTGTCAGAGGCATCTGTTAAAAATGATAAAATCTAGGCATTTTAAACTTGTAAATGAAAATGCTACGGTCTTATTCTCAAAATATTTAAAATGTGATATGAAAACAAAATAAATTATTTTAAGTTAATGTTATTTAATGGGTATGTTTTCCCTTTTCTATTTATAAGTTGTATTTTAGATATAATTTAAAATACTAGACAAATTGAATCAAGACAGGGCAAGATACTCTAGGAAACAAAAATATCATTTCTTTTCAACATGTGTCATTATTTGTTATTTTGTATGCATTATTGTTGATATCCACTTTAATTCTGCAAATAGATTAATTAAAATTAACTTTTTTTATCTTGCCGAGTGGGGGGCTAGCGACAGTTGAATTCATTATCCCCGTAGTAGTAGCCCAAATGTCGTTCTACTATCACTAAGTGGCCTGCGGCTGATGTAAGACAGCCCTGGTCTCGGCCATTAATCACTTGATTTTGCTTGCAATTGACAACACTTGGATGTCGGGATATACCCTACCGTCGCTCGCTGTGTACTTAACATCGGGTTTTAATGTAAGTGTAGTTATGTTTCGGCTCTGTCTGTCATTTAACGTTAATACACTTTAATACAGAGCTATTGCCGCATACACGATTTCTTTATTTGCAGTTGCCATATTTTACTGTGCTGTTAAATATTCTGTTAGCATCCTATTAATATCTAATGTGTAGGCTGATTCTGTCTTTAACGTATTGTTATAATTCCCTTGATGATCGATATAATTGATTATAGGAACGCATTCCGTGTTCTGTGATCCGTCACACAATATCTTTCCTTTCTGGCGAACTGATGCCGGGTCAGTCAATGTATTCCCTATCTGTGTAAGACACGGACATCAATATACAAAACAAATATTATATGTACATGTTAATTATGCAAACAGACTAACATCGTTCTAAATGAAATAGGTTTCGCGTCTATGTTACAAGTCACCCAGAATAGAGTTGGGTACGTCATAACCAGGTATTACGTACTATACCTAGGTATTGAAGTGTGCTGTGCGTGCGAATGATGTACTGGACTGTCATGGTATGACCCAGTCCACACTCCGACGCACGCATTAGAATTAAATACAGGTGATTAAACTGATTGTTAATGCGACAAATGTGACAAACCAAGAACACACAAGTAAAATGTTATAAGGGGATCTATTTAAATACTAACTGTTTACATGTATAAAATTAAATTAAATATTGCCGTTTACATTCTGTGTATGGGTGCGCGTTATTTTAAACAATAACAACTACAGACTAGCCCTAGGTAGCCGAGGCGTCGCGAGTTCACCCTATTGAGTTGTGGATCTAATAATTAAACACCAATAACAAGACATGCGTGACACCCCTCCCGACAGCTGGTCTTTACAGCTATTTGTAAAGGTTCAAATGCGGGGTTACCTTTATAGCGGGGGTTAGGAGACTTCTGCTTTCAATGCAGGTTTTTAGACTTGTAACTGAATATTTCTTAACAGGTATCAACTACAATTAACGTTTGAACAGCGACTGGAGACCGTGTAATATATACAGCGGGATTTTAGTGAAAAAATGACAGCGTTATATATGCCAATAAATGGTTTAGATTAAAACACATATGCATGTGTTTTAGAGGTCTGATGCCCCTTTTTAGATGCAGCTATTGCAACAGACTTACAGTTGTATAAAAACAATTTCATCACGGTTTCCTTTTTTAGTCTGATAAGCAGCTATAAAACAGCAGTGTAGCCATTTCTACACTAGAACGCAAGGGGGTGATTGTGGATATGGAGTATTACCTAGGGGGAAATGTGAGTTAAGATTACAACCCGACGGGAAACAGAAGCATGGTTACTGGATCGGTAAAGGATACATATAATTAGTTATAAATAGTTAGATCTAAAACTGATAGCGACTACAAACAGTCTACCAAACAATTCAATCAGAGAGATGTATGCTAAAGTGTGTCGCCCCATTAACGATATTTATACCGTAGTACAGAGCGCTTGTAAAACACACTTAACGTAGATTCTAATCAATAAATCACGGTCCTAATTTTTTGTTTAAACGGAAATGATATTTTTAGTTAAAATGTAATTTGTTATTTTAACTGTTCTTTGTATATGATAAAGATATGATTGACACTACAGGTAGTATTATATTATTGGAACGTGATCGCATTGTTCCGTACTTAGGTATGTATTGACGTTTCAAAGAAGGCCGTACTTGGCTGTCGTAAAACACGTGGATCATGTGAAAATGGCCATACTTTGTTAAGTTGTATGTGTAATAGGTGCCTTCAAAGTTCAGCTAGTGCCATTACCGTCTATACAGGTGTACCATACAGGTAACATTAGGTGTATAGAGCGAAGAAAGGAAGCACTCTGAAGGTTACTAAATTGTGCGACAACAGCTAACGATCACCGGTGTACAATAGATTACGGCTAGACCGCTGTCAACCATCCACTAGACCCTGATAAGAGTAGCTATGTGTTAAAGCGGCTTAACTTTCCTCTGTTACAATATCATGCTTTACACGCGCATTGCATTATCTTTGCCTGCCTAGCCAGCATTATGAAAGGCATTGTAATATTGATCTGTATTCTTTCTCTTGGTATAGTTATGTCCATATACATGTAAAGTAGAGATGCTATACTTAAAAGGGTAATGAAATAATACTACAATAGGCCGTATATTGCTTTGATTTTACGTTAATAATTTCTATCAGACTTCTTTGATTCCTAGGTAAATACAAGCACTATTCTGTGTGGGATAAATCCATTAAATGGCGTTTCTTTAATCTAAACGAAAAGACACAACGACCAGACTCGATATTGCTAGATACGTTAAGTTCACAGGCCTAGGGGCGACAACCCGTACTTGTCCGTCTGAGTGAGCCGGAGAAAGTGAGAATAAGTATAGCCCCTGGCTGTGGTACCGTGTGAACACGAACAGTAACCCGACGCATGTCCAACTCTCTGTATTCAATGAATTATTGCCGGTGTCGCCACTAACGGTAGCACGTGCTTAGCTGATTAATTTCTGTAATTGTCAGGGATCGTGCCGACTCCAACCGTACAATTGCACTCCGTGATAATTAACATAACCGTTTTCCTTATTGCACTTGTTAGTATTAATTGGTTATGACGAGTTTCCTATTAGACCTGACCCTTCACATATTATGATAACACATTTACGGGATACACTTGCGAACATCGATAACATCAAAACAGTTCTGATGTAAAATGGATTCTGTGTTTTTCGGAAGATTATTCTAAACCATTAAATATCAACCGCCCTTCCGTTCCAGACTGACATAGCGAAACATCATGATGTAACAACCTTTACAATTACGTGATTTTTTGTTGCGAATATTAGTGAAACTGTTTTCAATTAGAATGCTTTGTGTTCCACATGTTTATAAATATTTGACTAGAAGACATAAAACCGTGGAAGTACAATATTAATCTAATAATAACTTCATTAAGATTTTTTTTTTGTACAATTCTTACTACACAAATGCTTAGGAATCCTTTGTCGAGGTAACGCTATATCGATCACGTAGTTATGGGTGGTAATTCTCACAGGATCACATTACCGATCTCTTGCTTTAAAAATGACTGCCACATCGGCGATAAAATATCCTCTAGCTTTCACACGAGTTTCACTTATAGTATATTTCACAAGTCATTGCCCCGTATGTATACACGTAGCTGAACATGCTGATGGATTGGCCCGGCATCTGTTACCCACACCGTGTATTGCCTCTAGGACTGTATCATATACCTTCTCACATCGGTTACAAATATATGCGCTCTTACCTTACCACTCTTTTGTCGAGAAGCATAAAAATAAGCACTGGGTCCCACGGAAAATGAGTTAGTAAGATATTATTGATCTTTTTTTTTTGGCGAAAACAAAACATACAACCCGGGACCATTGGCTTTGGATTTATCACGTTTAGAGATGTAGACATTGACCTTCAAGTGCTTGTGTAATTTATCTTAACATTTATAAACGTTAATTATTACATAATGGCAAGAAATATTACGTTTTGAAGTGATCGGTGTATGACATTTCTATCAATATCAGGTTCTAGCTGAAATCATGACATCTTAATAGTTTATAAACAGATAATTTTAGTAGGGAAGGATTATTTTGTTGGGCCGATTTATTTTTTGTTTAAGGTACCGATTCTGTAACATGTTTTACGTTAATAAATCTGTATTAATAGTTACATGACTTCCCTACATGGAGTATTCCAGTGATGATCAGTAAGCGAACATGTGGCAAGTCATTTATACACACTGTTTCACAATAGTCGACACTGTGGTCTCTGTCGTATACACAGATGGGATTACATCTTTGTTACTTTTAATACTTAGCGTAGAATATATGCATCGATTTCATCACGGTCCGTGTGCTTAGTATGCAACATGTTGCTGCTTTATATACAGAGACAGACAGCACGTGAACGTGTAATAAAACTGTATTATTGGAGTATGCATTTGTTTAGTAGGATTGCTAACAGATATTTTGTTTCTACAACTTAAACAACTGGCGTGTCATGCATTTTGTCAGTACAAAGACACTGGTGTAACGTAGAGCCTTGTAACCAAGCTTGTAGTTAGTGAGATTACTGATGATAAACAGAGACGCACAGCACTGTGTTTTCAGCAGTGTTTTCCTGTTAGAGTACGTTATGTTGGATCTCGACACGGTTAGTGCTCTTTTGTCTACATAGCAGCGGTGTTATTTACACGTCTCGTTATGAATTGGCCTTTGTCATAAAATGTTTCTTTAAACTAATTATATCTTAAACTATTTTTTGTGGGACCGTTTTCTGGGATGTAAGATTAGAGAAAGAATAATAATGTAGGATGGACTCCTGCGTATCAACGTTAGTGAAAATATATTTATAAGCAAACAATATTAATAAAAAAACATATCAAAAGTAAGAGAGAAAAGAAAGATGAATTGATAATGAAATAACTCGTTTTGTGTACATGCGATTTAGTTACATTTTCATGTTTTATTGTTTCATTTCACAAAGATTTTATTAAGTATTGAAGCTTATACAAATTCAAAAGAAATTGAGCAACATGCGTAATTCCCATACAAGCCCTCTCCTGGTATGGACAATGTAATTTATAATATATTAATTGTAAAATAATTTAAAAGCTTTCTACATCGAGGACAGAAGTCATCGACCATGTTTTATTGTTACGTGTACCTGCCAGAATGACATGCAACACCACATGATATAGTCTCTGTTTCTTAGTTGTTTTTAAATTCTCTTTAACTCAAATAGTACAAAGAGAAACTTGTCTGATGCTAAGAACTAGAATATTTTAAATATATTGTAATTTTAATCATTTTTTTTTTTTTTTACCTCAGACCTGAAACTTAAATCGGCACACAGTCTTTACAGATATATACAGCTATAACTGAATGACATTTCGATGTTAAATCTACAAAATAGACTATGTTTCTTTTAATGTATTGATTTTGCTATCAAGTGTTTAAATACAACTTTACGAGGTCGTTAGTAGAAGATTAGGTTACAGTATCGCTAGTGTCTAATTGAACTCACGCTGAATGAGATTTCCGACCAACCATTGCACGCCGTGTTTATATATATGTTATTATTATCATGCACCTTTTGTTAATATAAGAGACCGAATTGCTCATTTAAGGGCCAATATTGTATGGAAGAGAGTGTCAGAGTCACGATATTTGCGAGTCGAGTCACGAGATTTATGAATACATGTTGAAGTTATTTATTGTAAATTAAAATTGAACCGAGTTATAAATTATTGAAAGGAGAGCTAAGTACGTGGCGTTTATAATGATGTAAATAAAAAGACATCATTATTAAAATATTAATAAAAAAAATGAAATTGATTTTTGTGTTGAAGTTCTTCATTATATCCCTCTTTGGTACGGGAGTGTAGGCTTTTATCACGAATAACAATGTTATTTTGCCACACATGATGTGAGCAGATTGTTTATCACAGAACACGTGGTTTTATATACGGAACGATTCAAAGGAAATACATGTGTTTGTGTGGTGCAAGCAGGGGTTATCAAGACAAAAAACACATTTGGTTAAAGACAGAGGCAACAACCAAATTCCAGGACAACAACAGAAACGAGGAGACAGCAAACCAATAAAAAATCCATCATGAATTCCTATATAACAGGGTTGGAACTAGCCCCAGGATCACAGCACAATCTTTCATCAATGTACAACGTTTTTCTTATGGAAATCGTTTTTAATTTGGTGTAAATGTCTATATTGACAATATATATAATTACAAAACACATAAAATCACAATTTGACATGGAAGATGATATCAAGCAACATTTAAATTTGGACTTATGATGAGTTATTTCATGATCCTCGGAGCACCAGTTAGAGTTAGCGTTTCCTGTATAGGTCAAAACTGTGAATTGGCTAAATAATTTGATTTATATTGCTTAAATGCAATAATTAAAGAGTGTTAGGAAAATAAGATAACTTCCGAGACACTTATTGCTACGGCATTTGTTAATTTTCGACAAAAGTTCACTGTGGGAAAGGAATCATATCTGACCCCAATTGGTAAGAGTTAATAAGTTTCAAATAAGATAACAACAAAATCAAGAACATAAGATACCATTTCCTGATTTTACTAACGCCTTGTTAATGTCAGCCAACCTTTGTGTAACCGGAGCCTGGATATTTTGCCAGTGTAAAAATTAAGAAATATCCATACTGCATACCATCAGTGATGTCAAACACACAGGATAACGAATGAAAGCTGATAGCATGAGTCTACAATGGGAGGTCATGTTAAAGTCATGACCTTTCACCTGTCACACCTGGCAACTCCATTACATATGTACTTACATGCGTATTATAATACACATTAATGTACATATGTCGCTCAAAACGTATCTTGTATCTATGCATAGGAAATATTTGGCTATGGTACAGTTTTTAGCAACTGAGTTGGAATTTGGAAAATAAGAACAAAAACAAAATAATATTGCTTCATCTATTGATGTGGCAGTTTTTATTTAGTCAATGTTAGTCATATTTAATAGAGATCAACAAGAGAAATAAACCACAGCGGTACCAGAGAAGTCATTGCGGACAGTCAACTACTGGGGAAACCAAATAGTGAAGATAGTACGTTCCCTGTCAAATTTAGCATTAATAGTATTAATATTACGTATACTCATTCGACAACGGCTTTATTATACATTTTAGATTTGACCAGAAATAAATCCTATTGTACTAAAGTTTTCCCCCATAATTCGAATCGTTCATTAAGGCAATGAAACGACGTCACGATGTTTATAATGTCATTGAATAATGGCGTTCATTATTGTTCAGATGTCATCTTGTATATACGCCTTTTAAGC